AGCGGAAGCGCTAAAGTGTGGCATAATAAAAGCTCCGCTGCTTTCGAGCCATGTGTCACTCTCGTCTCTCATTAGCAATTGCTTCAGCGGCCTCGTTTCGCTTCGACGGCTTTCCGTCTCACTCTGCTTCATACTATGATGTTAATAAATCTTTAATACATTAGCTCAGGGGTCTCCAAACGTTTTTACATTTGGAAAATATTTTCGCGGACCGGCTGGACCGGGGGCGGGGGGGGTTTGGTTCAGCGCGTGAGTAACGAATTGAGCTCTCTTTCGTTTCTTCTTCTTGTGGTTTAACATTTAAATTGGCAAATTAATCTGCAAATCATGTGCGTGCCGAACGGCAGCAGACCAATGCGAAAATCCACCCACATAACCCCGTTTTAAATTAATATAATAATTTATACTTCCGACTCATCTCTTTTCTTAAAAAAATTGTTTAAAGGCTCATTTGTGATGTTTATCATTTTATAATTTATTTTGTTTTTGTGAAAACTGTAAATCAATTGCTATTTTGTGGTCTACAACATGAAATAAAGCCATTATAACATGTACATGAAAAATGTAGAAACACTGGACACAACTGTGGGGCACCATTATGCAGCAGCAAGCATGGCAACAAAAAAAGGAACCTCAAGGCTAAATTTGTAAATGTGTGCAAATACATAGGGCCCCATTCATATATTTTGCCTGGGGCCCCCAAATCACTAAATACGCCCCTGGTTTCAGTAGTTTCATTAAAACATTTGATTAAGCATTCTTTGTGTGGTAGATGTTTCGCAGCACTTTAGCTGCTCTTTAACCTTTCGTACAGCTTACGTCACCGTGGGTTGGACTCATTAGGACACTTCGACACGCAGAAGCGCAGCGTGCGCCGCGGAAGAGGCTAGATCAGAAGTTCAGACGAGTCTTCGGTGTGTGTAATTTCAGCTGCTCCGGCGGTACACAAATTAACAAGCAGGGAGTGTTGTAAAAAACAGATTTAATTAGCTTGTTAAGACGGGTTTGTGAGCGCGCGAGCGCCTGCTTTCACTCGTGTTTCTCTTCCAATCACTCTGGCTTTGATGCGACTCACAGCGAAAGAATGAAGAATAAGAGTGGGAGGATAATATAAATTAGATGAGATGAGATTATGTGTAAAGGTGAAATTAGGACACACGTTTGGGTTCGTGAAGCAGTAAAATAAAAAAATTTAAAAAACACATGATTAAATGCAGGGTAGGCGATTTGGTCCAAAAACATTTTTGTTATGCTGGTTTAAAGTCTCTTCACATCCCGATATAGCAATCACTAAATTAGGTGGTATAATTTTATTTATATGTATTTATGTCGTCTGTTGAAGGCGTAGGACCATAAAATGTTCATCCAATCAAAATGTTCGGTCCAAACATTACAATAGGCTGTCCTGCCTGCCTGTCAAATATGTATTTGCATACTTCTGCGCAGGGATGGGCAGTATTTATGATTCATGTATTTCAAATATAAAATAGGATTTTGTAATTTGTATTTGATAGGGTTGATGAAAATGGCTTCATATTTTGTATCAAAATGCTTTAGTGTTTTGTAGTTTTAAAATACTGTAAAATACTTTGTAAGAAGTCTACATGATGACATCATAAAAATGCGGCTTCTGATTGGTGCCTAGTTTGCCCAGACTTGTTACTGCACTATTAAGGGGATAGTTCACGCAAAAATGAAAATTCTGTCATTAATTACTCACCCTCATGTCATTCCAAACCCGTAAGACCTTCGTTCATCTTCGGAACACAAATTAAGATATTTTTGATGAATTCCGTGAGCTCTCTGATCCTCCATAGACAGCAAGTGTCCTTACACGATCAAGGCTCAGAAACGTAGCAAGGAGATCGTTAAAATAATCCATGTGACATCAGTGGTTCAACCGTAATTTTACAAAGCTACGAGATTACTTTTTGTGTGCAAAGAAAACAAAAATAATGACTTTATTCAACAATTCGTCTCCTCCGCGTCACCCTATAGTGCTATTTTGGAGAGTATCACATGCGTAAACACAGTGTGCGTTACGTTGTTTACGCTTTGATCTGAACGTAAACAATGTATCCACGTACATATGTTGTTTACGTATGTGATACTCTCCAAAATAGCGCTATAGGATGACGCGGAGGAGACGAATTGGTAAATAAAGTCGGTATTTTTGTTTTCTTTGCGCACAAAAAGTTTTTTCGTAAGATTCGTAAAATTACGGTTGAACCACTGATGTCACATGGATTATTTTAACGATCTCCTTGCTACATTCCTGAGCCTTGATCGTGTACGGATCCTTGCTGTTTATGGGAGGGTCAGAGAGCTCTCGGAATGCATCAAAAATATCTTAATTTGTGTTCTGAAGATGAACGAAGGTCTTACGGGTTTAGAACGACATGAGGGTGAGTAATTAATGACAGATATAACATATAACATATAACATATAGCATATAACAATAGATTCAGTGGTTGGAGTTGGGTTAATACTCCTTGACGAGTTCTGTTGCTACTTTCTTATTACGTTTCTGGTTACATTTAAAATCAAAACATAGACCTGTATGCAGGTTTTCTGCTTAAGACATTTTTTTTCTTAAGACAACATTATTATCAATGTTGCAATGTGCTGCTTTATATTTTTGTAAAAAACTATTTTTTTTCAGGATTCTCTGATGAATAGAAAGTTCAAAAGAACCTAGTTTATTTAGAAATGTTTGTATTGTCACTTTTGGTCAATTTAATGCATCCTTGATGAATAAAATTATGCATTTCTAACTAACTAACTAACTAAATGAAAGTATTGCTTTCTTCTTCAATTTGAAGTTTTCCCCAATATACATGATGTTTCTATAAATGTTCTGGAATTTACAGTTATGAAAGTTGTAGCACATAGTTCATCAAATGACGTTTTCCATGCTATGACCTCTTATACTGATGGTTTTAAGTGACATGCGACTCTAGTAGTACAGCATCATGATGTGATCTTCTTCAGTTATAATTATCACCCAGCCTCCTTTTCCCGCGTGTCTCTTCTGTCTGCGCTGGCTTCACATGTGCTATTTTCAGCCATTAGGATAATCAGACCGAAATCCGCCTCCTGCTCTCAAGCACACACCTTTTCAGAGCCTGCCTGCCCTGTTAATGTTCGATTTTTAAAGCCTGTCATTTGTTAACTGTCATGTTAACTGCCAACAGTGCGCGGGAACCGGTAACCGTGGTGAGGTTGTCATGGCTGCGGGGCTGGTTGTCTGTCAACACTCAGAGTAAAGTGATGCTTTTATTGTTTATTCAGCTGTGGGGATGAACTGGAGTCAACGGAGACACTTTAACCTAGTGAGTTCTCTAACGCTCACTTCTTGTGCCTCACGTAGCGAACGTAAAAATAAGTTTCCAGATGCAACTTATATGATTAACATGTAGGCTCATATGTTTTATATGTATATAATATTCAGAATTTTTTTTTTAATTTAGTAAGGATCAATAATTATGGATCCAAAAAAACTAATCTAAAAATTACATTTTGACAAATTATTGTGCACAAGCTGTTTACATCGGGTTCGTGTTAAAGAGCGGCTAACAAAGTAGCTTATTCACATGATGTTCACTCTCTTAAAATGTAAATTAGTGTAAATGTCAACATTTCCATAAAGGATTAAAGTCTGTCAGGTAATTGTAATGCAAGAGCTCAGGCAATCTTCCGTTTTATTCCTCCTGGTCGGAGGCTTCCAAACTATTTAGTTTATACAGTTGCCTTTCAACTTTTATTTAAACTTTTAATGAACGGTTACTATTGCAACGCAAAAAAAATATATATATATAATAATATATATATATATTTGTTGTGTTAATAGGAGCTTTTATTTTGAAGGGCAGGATGATATAAAGACATGTGACAGGTGTTCATGTGGCGTGTAATTGCTGTCAGGTGATCGACCAGGTAAGTTTGGTTGTTCATTCTGGTAAGGAGGCATGCTGATGCCTCATGGCTGTTTTGGCTTTGTGTGTTTGTTGTGCTTTTTGTTTGGTGCTTTAAATCTTTCATATGATAGAAATAGAAATGTAGGAGGAGAGTTTTGTATTCATTAGCGTTGGTCTGTATTTTAGTCTGTATTTTAGTGTGGGTTGATTCACTGACACACAAACAGACAGTTCCCTGTTGATACTACACTCGTATTGCGTCTGCTAAGACGCTATGGGAAAAAGCTTTTTTTCCCTGAACTAAAGCCTTTTTTCAATCACGCAGTGAAACTGCACGGCCATTGGTTCGTGCAGTGTATAAAAAAATGAACCAATGGCTCGGCAGCAGAGCGACAAAGTCAGTCAAAGCCCGCCAGAATGGATGGGGCATCTGGCTATATAAGAGGGCGTTCGCCCCTGCCCTGTTAATGTTCGATTTTTAAAGCCTGTCATTTGTTAACTGTCATGTTAACTGCCAACAGTGCGCGGGAACCGGTAACCGTGGTGAGGTTGTCATGGCTGCGGGGCTGGTTGTCTGTCAACACTCAGAGTAAAGTGATGCTTTTATTGTTTATTCAGCTGTGGGGATGAACTGGAGTCAACGGAGACACTTTAACCTAGTGAGTTCTCTAACGCTCACTTCTTGTGCCTCACGTAGCGAACGTAAAAATAAGTTTCCAGATGCAACTTATATGATTAACATGTAGGCTCATATGTTTTATATGTATATAATATTCAGAATTTTTTTTTTAATTTAGTAAGGATCCTTTTTTCAATCACGCAGTGAAACTGCACGGCCATTGGTTCGTGCAGTGTATAAAAAAATGAACCAATGGCTCGGCAGCAGAGCGACAAAGTCAGTCAAAGCCCGCCAGAATGGATGGGGCATCTGGCTATATAAGAGGGCGTTCGCCACAGGATTCTCACATTTCTTCTCCTTCAGCGACGACTACGCTCTACGCTGATCCGAAGCCTGCTCGCCGTTGACATGCCTTCGCAGCTGGAGTTGGGACCTCTCAGCTCGGCT